TCATGTCATGCCTTGCAGCACAAACTTCGCTCTCCTCTCGGTCTTCTCTCTTTATCCCTTTCATTGGTATGCCCAAAGCGTAGAAGGTCAAGGCATAGATAGTGGCAGAGGCGGGTGCCACAATGAGGTCATTGATTTGTGCGACCTGCAACCAATCTCAGCTTGAACCTCTGACACTAATCGCACAAGGGGCCTGTGCCTGTCCACTTGGTAACGCATCAAAAGTAGCTGAAAGTTTGTTTAATATTTGGCCTGAAGGGAAGCTGAACGAGCGGGATCCTAAGGGGTCTTTAAGAAAATTTCTTGAGAAATAAATGCTGCAAAAAGTGCAGAAAGATGTGTGGTTGAAGCTATTTAAATGCTTAATAAATTATTTTGATGTGTGGTTTACTGAGTTAACTCAAAGCCAGATGCATATTTATGGCCTTGGCTCTTAAATATCATTAGAAATCATTCGTAAAAGCAAACTGCCAAGCAACTGCAGCTGCAATTTTAAGACCCTTGGCCCTTGAAGTAAAAGTTGGGCAAGCTGTCAGAAAAAGTCATCGCAGCATTTATATTAATTTGAATAAGCCAAAAGCATTAATCATTCAAACTCAACAACAAAATGGATAACATATTTATATATTTTATTTCAGCTCTTTCTAGACTTTAGAGACATTCGTCACCCAAAATATGTCCCTGCATTATTGTCTTTCTTATTTAGATTTTTTCACATTTTTACTGTATTTCTTTCACAGTTCTTTCCATCAAAGAGAATAAGAACATGTGAGAAAAGAAGTGTAAAATCAAACTAAAATAACTTACAAATAAAGACCAAAGCAAAGGAACAAATTGAAAAAAGAAAAATTCACATTTTGATCAAAAAACAAAGAACAAAATTCAAACATAAATTCTGATAAAACCCACAAAAGAAAACAATAAGAAAAAACATTTTTCTCTAGGATATTTCTCAGGTTTACTGATGGGGTTCTTTGTCCTCAAAACAATTGAATTTAATTTGTGTTAAGGCCAAAATATTCCAAAATATATTTACTGATACACTTACATCAATTTTCTGTTCATGTGTTGATACATTGATGTCCTCTCTGCTGCTGCTGTTGCTGTTGCTGTTGCTTACCGAAAGACATTTAGTGTGTTTGTTGTGTGTGCTGTGTTTGCTGTGTACATTCTTCTGTCTGCATATAGAAACAAATCAAACAATTAAAACAAATATCTATCCACACCCAAACGAATCAACAGCTGAAAGGCTGCAGCTACTCGTTGGGACATGCCAACTGGTACAGAAATTGCACCAAAGTGCGTGTGGGGCGTCCCGTCATTTGTCCCGCTCGTAGATATGGAATCAGTCCATAGGTGGTCATCAGGCCAGTGCCATAGGTGTCGAGATGGGCCCAGTCGGCGCAGGGCACCAGCTCGTTGAGCACTGCGGCCGCCAGGCAGGACGAGGCATGGCCATTGCCATCGTTGGATAAATCGAAGCTCCTGTGATTGGCCACGCGGCGCTTGTAGAAGTCCCACAGAGGAAAGCGCCACAAGCGATCTCCGGTGAGGGATCCAGCCTTCTGGAACTGCTTCCAGACGTAGTGCGAGTTGGACCAGATGCCCGTGGCGCCTCCGCCCACTGCCTTCTTTACTCCTTTGCACATCGATCCAATGTCCACGACCAAACGGGGCTTGTAGGTCTGCTGGCCGTAGATGAGGGGATCTGCCAGGACCACCACTCCAGTGCGATCAATGTTCCGCACTGACATTGTCTTGGCATTCAGGAGGGTCACCACATCCCCCGGCTTCACGGACATGCCCGAGGGCAGGTTCTCGCAGAGCGGCAAGATGGCAGTAATGTTGATTGGGAGCGACAAAGCGGCAGCCGCTCGCATGGTGGCTAGGATGGAGGCGGCGCCATTCAGATCCCCACGAAACTCGTCCATGCCCTTGCAGGGACGCAGATTGATTCCGCCAGAGTTGAAGGTGATTCCCTGGCCCACCAGCAGGACGGGCTTGTCCTCGGGCGAGGTGCCGCAGTAGGCGAGCTCCAGGACGATGGGTGGCTCGCAGCTGCCCTTGGCAATCGTGAGGAAGGAGTGAAGCCGCTGCTGCTCGATCCACTCCATCGTGCGCACCTCCACGGTGATGCCGCAGGGGCAGAGGGTGTCCACGGCCACCTGGGCGAAGATTGTGGGCGTCATGCAGTTGGCTGGTGCTTCGGCGATGCGGCGCGAAATGTTCTGGGCCTCCGCCTTGAAGAGTCCACGAGTCCAAGAGTCACTATCAGGGGAGCCAAAGAGCTCCATCTTGGGCTGGATGGAGCGATACTTCTTGGAGAGATTCTCCTCGAAGCGCCAAGTGGCGAGGGATGCGCCCTCGGCTGCTTGTTCCGGGTAGTCCATGTTGTCCACATGGATCTCGATGCATTCGATGGCCTGCAGGGAGCGGGCACCAATGCCGGCGGCCACGCGGACATTCTCCATGCCCTCGTCGATCATCTCGAGCTCGTTGAAGCCGATTCCCTCCAGCCCCACACCGACCACGCACACCGACCGGAACTCCTCATCAATATTGTTGAAGACCTTTCCGCGTCCCAGCCTGCCACTGATCTTCGTCTCGCAGATCAGTTCCGAGAGTTTCCCGTGCAGACGATCATCAAACTTCTCCCCCGCTGGCGTCAGACGTGGCCCCTTGCCCGCCTCCTTCTCGTAGAGACCCACAAGGAGGCCCTTTCCGCCCTTGTGGGCATCAGCACAGGCAATCGCTGCCATGCGTCGCTGGTTAACAGAACGAAGACAGTTCCTGGCCAGGGCCATCGAGCCGGCCATTTGCAGCATCCTCGAATTCATATTTGTATTTTGTCAATGTTTTCTGTTGGGAGACAAAATAAAGATTATTGATGGCAGAGTTATACAAATTATACAAAATATGAATGCTAACTGGAACTGAGTTGAGCGACTAATGAATGATTTTGGTAAGGGGTTTTGGTGTCAACCGNCTCGAAGCGCCAAGTGGCGAGGGATGCGCCCTCGGCTGCTTGTTCCGGGTAGTCCATGTTGTCCACATGGATCTCGATGCATTCGATGGCCTGCAGGGAGCGGGCACCAATGCCGGCGGCCACGCGGACATTCTCCATGCCCTCGTCGATCATCTCGAGCTCGTTGAAGCCGATTCCCTCCAGCCCCACACCGACCACGCACACCGACCGGAACTCCTCATCAATATTGTTGAAGACCTTTCCGCGTCCCAGCCTGCCACTGATCTTCGTCTCGCAGATCAGTTCCGAGAGTTTCCCGTGCAGACGATCATCAAACTTCTCCCCCGCTGGCGTCAGACGTGGCCCCTTGCCCGCCTCCTTCTCGTAGAGACCCACAAGGAGGCCCTTTCCGCCCTTGTGGGCATCAGCACAGGCAATCGCTGCCATGCGTCGCTGGTTAACAGAACGAAGACAGTTCCTGGCCAGGGCCATCGAGCCGGCCATTTGCAGCATCCTCGAATTCATATTTGTATTTTGTCAATGTTTTCTGATGGGAGACAAAGTAAAGTAAAAAATTTATGGCAGAGTTATAAAAAATATACAAAATATGAATGCTAACTGGAACTGAGTTGAGCGACTAATGAATGATTTTGGTGTGGGTATAAAAAGTAAAAAGTACTAGATTGATCAGGGTATTGGCTAGAAATGTGTAATTATTAGAAGCCAAAAGCATTATATCTATAAAATATGGGAACCATCAGCCGCAAGATAATTCTTTGCGTGTAAGAGTGTTGAAAAAGTGTAGCTAAAGTTATTGTAGATTTGACTGTAACTACGAACCACAAAGATATGCTATTAAGCGTGTGAAAGTGCAGCTAGAAAGACCCCAAGGGGTTCCGCTTAGAGTTGCGCCACAAAAAGCTACCCAAAAAAGATGAATCGGAATTCCCCCAAGCAACATTCAAGGTACTTCTATTTCTCTTATTTTACTGCTAAATGCAGTGCCCTTTGGCATTCTTTAAACAATTTAAATGGGAAGTAGCAAATTTGGTCAAGTCTAAAACTTTATCAAACCAAACAAATATTTAAAACAATTTTTAAAGTAGAAGAAACATTTTAATTGGTAGAAAACTTCAACTTTGAGTCGCCATATCTTCATGTACATCACTTCCATCACCAAGAGTCAAAAATCTTGTAAAATATGGTAGAATTTTATTTCCAACTCAGTTTATTTTGTAGACATCCGCGCTGCAATTTCGCTTATAAAATTATAAAAGTGCAAACAGTCACAGAGTCGCGGTTTTTGATTTTTTAAAACAGATTTTTGGTTATAATGCAAATTTTAGCTATGAGGAAATGATCTACTCAGCGAGGCCTACAAACTAATTGTTGTTTCGTTAAATTAAGTGTAATAAAACTCACCAGCCAGTCCAAACGATGCACCGAATAAAGGGAATTGGAAACCCCAATGATCCTTGCAAGTGCTGCCTGCGGCTTCAAAGCACTGAAATGTTACACGGTACTCAATAAATTGAGTTGAAATAAATCTATAAAATATACTACGGACTGTTAACATCAATATAAATATATTGAAACTGATTTGAAATTGTGTAGAACGCTTGCTGGGTTTGGTTTTAGTGTGAATTAAGGTAGAAAAGGTCATGTGATGGGGGAAAATAATTCGATTTAAGAGCCACAATCAACATCAATCTGAGCATATTTGTAGCTCTCTGTAGATCCCACCTAGGACCCACCAATTCCCAGTGCCCAACGAGCCACAACTACTAGCCATAGCAAAAGCCAACAGTCAACAAATAAAACTGGGGAAAAAACAGGACAGCTAAAAAATGATTTCTGCATATTTCCCACGTGGTCAGAAAAGTTTGTCGGGGTGAAGTGCAGGGGTGGAGGCCCGCCACAGGTTCAGGGCAAAAGTTGACTCGTTTTTGTTGTTAGAGAATTGATTTTATTTTCAGCTGCAGCGGGTGAAAGAACAGGATATTTTGATAGGTGCCAGGACGGAGGAAACCTCCACTCATTCCGTGGCTAGCAAATGCGTCTCGAAGCTGATGAAATTGCTCTGCTTGAGGCTGGGATCCTCGACGGCGCCGTGGAACTGCCGCCAGTAGGTGGCCAGCGATGCCTCAATCAAGCGCCGCAGAAAGAGCAACTGAATGTGCAGATACAGCGACACCGACTGCCAGTGGGTGAGGCAAAAGTGCTGAATGACCAGATAGAGTCGCCCGTAGTTGAGCATTCCCGTGACGACAAAGGTGAGGGTCCAGGGCAGGGCAAAGAGCAGAAATTTCTTCCAGGGAAAGAACGAGCCCTCCGACTGCTCCAGCTCCGTGTCGAGTGCCGCCTCGTCCGCTTGCAGGTCCGTGATGGAAGCCTCCTTGCGACGGCGCACCCAATCGTTCATCACCTGCTGCGCGGTGATCCAATGGCTGGAACTTCGACCCAGAAGGCTCTTTCTACGCGCTCGCTCCTCGAGCAGCTCCTGGCGACGCTCTGCGCGACGCACTGCATCGCGATGGCGCCCGTACCACACACCAAACAACGTCAGCAGCGAGTACATCATGGCACGGGCCAGCATCAAGGGACGGTACTGGTAGCCCACATTCAGTCGCAGGCTCCGATCCACATACACGCTGCTCCAATTGAGCCGAGCGTGCGCCTCCACAGTCGGCTGTATGACGGCACACACATGCAGTCCCGTGAGCACCACAAAGTAAATTATGTCACGCAATTTGAACATTGCAAATATATTTAGAATTTTGTGTGTATTTTCTGTAAAATTTGTGTGAGTTTTGTGTGAAACCAAAAGGTTGATGTGAAGTTCTGATGTTTTAGGCTTAGAGTTGGTTTTTTACTGAAAGTTAGTTGAACCCAGTTGCCAGAATTGCTGGGGAAAGCAAAAACAAGTAGAAATCAAATCACAATTTAAATATTCCCGCCACGCGATCACATGCTGCGAAAAGTAAGCGGCAATGTTCCTCAACATGGGCACGAAATGAGCAACATTCTGGTACCCTTTTGGCGAGAGACATGGGGGAACATGGGATTATGTTTGGCATCTTAACCAGTCAATGAATCTAAATGGAACCATATGTAGGGATGTCATTCCATCATAAAGTCATTATTAATGTTCAAGAGTAGCATGGAAATCGAAATTAGACTCATATTTAATGAAAATAGGGTATACAAATACCCGTACTACCGGTTAACAAGCAACAAATTGAGCAGCATTTAATGGCATTTTTTTTGTACCTTGTTCGCTTGAACACTATTTTGTAAGCCACCCATTATAATATAGTCAGGGAAACTAGCCAGTCTTGAGGAATATGATTCATCAATCGCATTCAATTATTGTTTCAGTGCTGAAAGTCCTAACTAAATGGTAATATTAAGCAGAACATCAAACTCGAGGAAAATATTTATTATCTACGGTATATTTGGAAGTGAACGTATATTATTTTTGGTATATTTCTGGGGTATTTTTGTGCTCACATATGCAACGCAAAAATGAGTCCGGGAGAATAATTGCTGACCTAATCTGATTTTAAGAGTTGATTTCAATCCAAATAATGTGCAAAATGTTGTCTTTTTTCTGGAATGAATCTTAAATGTTGATACTATACATGGTCGTCAAATTTTTCAACCATCGATAGTAACGATGTTTTCTTCCAGCCCTGGTCACGCTGCGTGCGACGCCAAAAACCGCGTTTTTGTTTTTATTTAAGAAATTGCCTGAGAAACTACAAAGAATTGCATTGAAATGGAGGGCGGAAGCGCAATTGCGCACAATTTAGCGAATGGCGAGAAGCGCACCAGCGACGTGGAGGCTGGACGACTGCAACACTTCTCGGATCTGCATCTGCGGCCGGTGGTGCTCAGCGGCCTGACGGCCAATAATTTTAAGACGCCAACAAAAATTCAAGCTGCAGCCATACCCATGGCGCTGACTGGCATGGGTAAGTGAAAAACAACCAAGTGGAATCCTAAAGTAAACATTTTGTTGCAGATCTGCTGGTGCAGTCGAAGAGCGGCACGGGCAAGACGCTGATTTATGTGGTGGCGGCGCTGCAGGCCGTCAACGTGAATTGGAATCATCCGGGAATTTTGGTCATTCTGCCCACACGTGAGCTGGCCATACAGGTGCACGACACATTCCGCTACTTGGGCCAGAGAATGCGCCAACTGACGGTCAATTCGTTTATTGGCGGCACCGATGTGACCAAGGATCGGGACAAGCTGCGGAACTGCCATGTGGTCATTGGCACACCGGGCCGCCTGCTGCAGCTGCACGAGAAGGGTGTGTTCAATCCATCCCGCGTGCGTCTGCTGGTGCTCGACGAGGCCGATCAGCTGTTCATGACGGAGAGCCTGCAGAGGACGGTGAACGAATTGATTGCGCTGCTGCCGCGACAGCGTCAGGTCATCGCGTGCAGTGCCACCTTCGATCAGAATTTGGATGAGAAGATAGCCCGGATGATGGAGAAGCCCATACTGATATCGAATAGCGAGCGGGCCACCGTGCTGCTGGGCATTAGGCAGTTTGTCTACGAGCTGCCGGAGCAGATCAACAACATGCTGGAGATGCGCCTGAAGCTGGAGGCGCTGAAGAAGATCTTCACGCAGCTGAACTACGAGCAGGCGGTGCTCTTTTCCAACTCGAAAATGCGCGCAGATTCGTACTGCAATTACCTGAACGCCGGCGGCATACCCTGCATGCTGCTGTCTGGTGATCTCGCCCAGAGCGAGCGCTCCGAGGTCTTTGAGAGCTATCGCACCTTTTCGGTGCGCACCATTGTGGCCACGGATCTGATTGCTCGCGGCGTGGACTCGCATCATGCCAATCTGGTGATCAATTTGGATCCGCCCAACGATCATGTCACCTATTTGCATCGCACAGGACGTGCTGGGCGCTTCGGGTCAAAGGCCATTGCCATCACTTTCATTTCGTCGCCGAAGCAGAGCGAGAACTTTAAGCGAATTCTGGCCAAGGCCGGCACTGGCATGTCCGTTCTGCAGTTTCCCACTGAAGGACCGCCAGCGAAGGGCTTTAATTACTTTGAATTTGACGCTTATGAGTTTCCATATTACTTCAAGACGGAAGCCAACGAGCAGGACGAGAATGAGTTGAATCGAATAAAGAAACCAAAGTCCACCAAACTGGCCATCAAAATAGCCAATGAAAAGGCATCCAGAGATGTGTCTCCAGTGGAGGTAAAGACGCCGAACACAGACACAGATGCAGCACAACAAATCGTGGAGGAGTGCGCCCCACGAGCAGTTCTTATCGCTCCCACTGTAGTGAAGGAGCAAAAGGCCAACAATTTAGAATTTGAGATTAACACATATCCGGCAGTGGAAGATGCCCAGCAGCCATCTGAATTGCTTCCTTTGGCCGCACCAGTTGAATACATTTTATCGCCAAATGATGACAAGCCCAGCACCAGTTCGGAGGCCAAAAAAAGGGAGAAACTGAGGCGCAAAGCCGAGAAACAGAAGCACGCCAAAAGCAACTTAAGCGCGCCAGCAAAGGCCAACATTAGCGCTGCTCAGCCACGCTCGACAGACAACAAGGAGAATCGACCAGCTAATGGAGCAGAAGTGAGCACAGAGAAGCCGCTGGACAGCCACCAGACAATCACGGAAGTGCAAGACTCTGCACAAACATCACAGGCACCATCGGATGTGTCACAAGAACCAACACAGACCTCGACAGAAGCAACACAAACCCCGACAGATGTTTCCCAGGAACCAACACACCTCTCGGTCAGCTCGGCTATAGCCGAAATCACCGCAGAGCAGCCGCTAGAGACCCCCCAAGCCCTCATGGAAGTGGAAGACTCTCCGCAAACATCACAAACACCAACAGATGTGTCCCAGGAGCCAACGCCGACCCCGTCAGATGTCTCCCAGGAGCCAACACAATCGTCGGGCTGCTCGGCTGCCACTCACCCAGCACCGCCAGCAAATTCAATCAATACGAAAACTTACTGCCTCGTAGTCCCCGCCATGGACAACAGTTCGACCACGCTGCAGCCTCATGTGCTGTCGAACACGGTGGACGATGCCAGCAGCATTGTGTCGGACAGCCTGGAGTGCGGCTATGGCAGTGATGCCTCATATGTCAGCCACTACACGGAGAGCGATGGCCAGATCATTTGGCAGCGCTACAGGGCACGGCGGCAGGTGCTCAAGCGGCGTCGTCGCTCCCTCAAGACACGTCCCTGGTACCACAAATGCTCAACGTTTGTGCGTTTGCACACAGCATTCAGGAGCGTCAAGGTATGTGTGCAATTGATTATCCTTCTGGTTCGGGAAATTAACCTTTTATTGCAGAGACCCGGCATTGAATCGCTGCTGCCAGTGCTGGCCCATCATCAGTTATTGTTGAAATTTGACAACAGGGAGAGCATAATCCAACGCTTGAATGCCTACAAAAGGCGTTTCAAGGTTAAGAATGAGTCGGACTGGCTGGACGAGCTCTACAAGACGGCAATGGAAGTTTACTCTACGGATTATGAAAATGCCACGGAGAAGGATAAATCAGAGAAGCCGCAACAGCAGCAGCCACCAGCAGCAGCGATGGGTAAGCTGAGCGTTCATGTTGCCCATCAGATGAACATTCCAGCAGTAGCAGTAGCAGCAGCAGCATCAGTAGCAGTAGCAGCGCCAGCCCCAGCACCTGTAGCTGTAGCAGCCGTGCAGGCAGCAGTGGAAGATTCAGAAACATCCTCCGAATCGGCTTTAACATCAGAGGAGGATGAGGAAGTTGTTGAGGAATTGAGTTCCCCGTCGAGCGGTTTTGGTGAGAGTACAGAGGAGAGTGCTTCATCTGGCATTGAGACCTCTGTCTACGATCCTTCTTCCTCGGATCCACTGGAAAATGATGATGAAGATGACGAGGACACCGAATGGGAGGACTATGGCCATGAGGAGGAGGACCCGGCCGACGATTCTTATAGCGATATCAGCGGCCTCAGCGCTATTAGCTCCAACAGCTATGACATAAGACATACACGCTTTAAGCTGGTCAAGCGGCCACTCAAAGAGAGCAGTTCCAGCTATGAAAGCGATGACAGCGATGAAAGCAAGGGAAACAATGCCAGAGATGCAGCTACTGCTGCTAGACCCATTGCCATTGCTGTCAGACACAATGCCAGCGGCACAAAAAAAGCAAAAGGTTTGACCACTGGCCCTGAGCAGGCTGGAGGCAGTCGCCCAAAAGCTGACCCAGAGGGGGCTGCAGAAAGCAGCGCCACAGAGGAAGCAGGAGAAAGCAGCGCCCAAGGCGAGCCAGACGAAAGCAGCGCCCCAGAGGTTCGGGCAACAGAACCTCCGGACTTGGACCACATTAACCGCGCCATGCAGCTCTGGGAGGAGACCTTCAACAGGCAGTATCTGCTGATAGCCAACCATGTGGCCGCACACATGTCACAATTTCACGAGGAAGATTAGGCACACAATAAAACATCAACCAACACTTCTCTTACCGATGAGCAGTCGGCAAGTTAGTCATTAATTATAAATCAAATGCTCAAAAATGAAAAAAACGGAAAAAGTTCCCAGAGGCTGCAATAGTCTCGCTCTCTCACTCTTTAGACTTCAACGATTGTAAACTATACTTTAACTACACATTCTGAAATGTAAAATGAAACTTAAGTTAATTGTTTCCTCAACGTATAACGGGGATTAACCCATACACTCATACTCCATAAAAAAACGTTGTTATAGAAAAACCGTTATATTGTGACAAACAAAAAGAGCAAAACCCACACTTATAGACCAGTATAACCCTGTTGAAAGGCTATGTGATTACATATAATATAAAATATACATCAATAGAATAATAATCATTTTCATACGTAAAGCAAGGCAAGATAGATTGAATATTGTACTGAAGACACTAAATATTGAATATTGAACTGAAGGACAATGAAACAGTTAAGTTTTTGTTATGAACTGAATGCAGCGAACCTCCCATTTAATCAACATTGAATAGTTATAAATTATATTATATGTTCTATAACCATTTAACCTTTTTGAATTTATTTTGCAAGCACAACTGAAAAAGTGCATTATGAAAATTTAATTTAATTTGGAAAACAAATGCAATAAAAAGTAAAATTTTCTACATAATTTTTTTAAATAAAATTCAATTTCAAATTAATTGGTTATAAAAGCATATTATATTATATTTTTTATAACCATTTAAAGACAATTTAAATTGTTAAATGACAGAAAATCATAAATATTTTTCCGTTTAACAAGAAAACTCAAATTTAAATTTGGAAACAAATACTTTCAGAACAAAAAGTTTTTGCTCATATAATTTTCAATCAAATTTAAATGAAAACTAATTAGTTATATTTAATATTATATTTTTTATAAACATTTAAAGAGCATTTTTGAAATTAGTTTGTCAGCGCAGCCAAAAAAAGATAAACATAAAACTATATTTCTCAATTGAACAAAAAAAAAAAACAAATTCATTAAAAACTAACATATTCACCACCTTAAATTTGCAATACAACTCGTTCAATAAACTAAAAACTTCATAAACCATAAACAAATAAATACCCTAAAAAGTTATTCGTTTTTTGCACTCATTAAATTTTCAATACAATTTTTTAATAAAGAAAAATTTGTAATATGAACGAATATTTGCGTAATTAATTTTTAAAAATATGGTAAAGGCGTAATTGGTAAGACTAAAATGTGGAAAAGAGTTTGACTACCTATAGGACCTCTTACTAAATTAGTTGTAATCTTTATCTTAATTCTTATAGCAAGAAATATTCCCTTTGGGGGCGCCAGTCCACTGCCTCGCGCATAAATCACACATAAATATGTTTGGTGAACGGGGCATGGGGGCAGCATCATCAGCTGTGGGGCAACAACATTGTTGCACAGCCATGCTGTGCCGCCGCCGCTCACTTTGAATTGATTGCAACTGAATGCGGCATCTGCGTCGGTGGCAGAGTCCAATGCACATTCGCCCTGCGGTGGAGCACGCAAAAGCTTTTGCCTCGTCGTTGTAGTTGTCGTCCCCCAGCTGGATGGGGCAGCAGCAGCAGCAGTTCGCGTGCACTTGCGTTCCACATCCAATAAGGAGCGTGAGAACCTGCCGCATGAATGCAAAGTGAGTTTTGTGGCTGCGGCTGTGGCTGCGCTGCGCTGCGCTGCGCTGCGGCGACAACGACAACATTTTATAGATGCTAGAAGTTGCATTTTGTCGCTGTGCTTTTGCCCCAGAGCCCAATGCCCCATGCCCCATAGCCATACGCGATTCGATTAGCGATAAATGCAAGATGCGAAAAATTGTTGTTGGCCAACTGCTGTTGCAGGTGTTAAGGCTTTATAATGATGTTAACATTTTTATGGCCCACAACAAAATGAACCTAAAAATTTGTTCAGCGCAATAATATATTTTTGCGGTTAAAGCTTCTCTTTGCCACCATATATGGGGGCACAGGCAATTGGCGTTTGCCGTTGCTGCTACTGCTGCTGGCGCGCGGCTTGCCTTTCGGCTAAGTGGAACGCTCCAGGGGCCAAGAGCCAAGTCACAGATACAGATACAGGCCTCCACAAAACTAATTAAAATTGCTGAACGTCGTAAACAATTATGGCCAAATTACTGGAAAATTAAATAAATATTAAATGGTTTTTTTTCCCCTGTATAGATTGCAACAAGAGAGGCATGAGGAGGATGCAGAAAAGCGATGAATGGGAACAGCCGAGGACAGTGTGAGGAAGAATCTCCAAGGATGTCTGAAATATGACATATTTTAAGAGAGATTTGAGAAGGTTTTATATGAGATAAATGTTTTCTAGATGCCTCAATGGCTGCTCCACTCGTTCATATTTTTGTTAGCGGTTAAACAATATTGCAGCTGCTTAAATAAATTATAAGTAATTAAGAATTAATCTTCACCCTACACCTAATTAGAATTTATTGCCTAAGCAATTCCAACTATAATTATGAAATATTAAGCTAGCGAAAAGTTCTCCATTTAGATCCCATCAGAGCCAATCAATTCGGCTCTTAACTCAGCCCAGAGTTAACCCAACAGATCCAGTCCCTCCGCCTGGTGGGTAGGAGTGGCCTCTGGGGCCCAGCGCCCGGCGATTTATGTGACCGAATGCCTGACGCCTGGCCACGCATTCATAAATAAAAGTCATCGTTAATTAAATTTAGTATAAACAACATGGCATGCCTGCAATTATTCACTCACTCAGTCACTCACTCAGTCACAGTACCACTCCCAGCAGAGCAGAGCAGAGCCCAAAAAGCGGCGACAGGCGGCCAAAAGAAACAAAAACAAACAAACAAACAAAAAATCGCTAGGGAAACTCACGCAATGTTTGCCAGTGACAGCCAAAGCAAAACAAGTAATAAGGAAAACGGCCAGGGAAGCGACTGGACAATGGGAATACCCTGTAGGTACACGAGAGCTGCAGCTGCAGCTGGCACGGGAGATTCCTCGAGGAGTTTCTACCTATGGACGATTTCGAGTGTGAGAGAAATGTAAATGGAACAGAATGAGAGCACGGGAAGCATTGGAATGGCATCAAGTCACGTACGCATCTATCACTCTCTCTCTCATTGCTTTTGCTTTTTACCGTTACTTTAGCTTCCATCTTCCTCTGTGCCTAAAAGGCGTGGAATTTTTTTTGTTTTGTCCCATCCGTGCCCATCACACCCTTCCAGCTCGACAGCGCGGCCAAAAAGGGGTATCAAAACAAACGTTGACAAAAATGATCTGTGGGCAATTATAATGAATTATTTTGACACTTAGGGCCTGTGCAAATGCATAACTAAAATCGCATAAACGTAATTTATGCACTGCCCCTCCGTACACCCCGTTCCATCCCTCACTCCACAGTGGAAATACTTTTTATTGCATTTTAAATGTGATAAATATCCCAAGCGGTTCTTTTTGGTGCCACTTGCAACACAAATAAAGACCTACGCAAAATCTCTGGCTAGAGGAGCGGCCGCAGTGGCAGCATGGAATTTTTCACTTAACTACAAGTGCAACAACTAGTTGCACATGCACCAAGGGGCGGCCATACACACATATGGCTCGGAGGGGTCTCTGGTGGCATGGAGAATTGCGGAGAATCCGTTTTTAATTGGTGAAAAATAGCTAAAATTTTCTACGCCGATGCCCCAAAGGGTTTTGCGGTGTTTGCCAAGTAGCCACAACCGGCCTCACCTTCATGGCCCCACCATCTCCCGCCACCCCTCTGCCGCCCTCGTGTCTTCTCTTTGACCATGCATAAATCGCACTCTTAATGGCCATAGCAACTTGGTCGTGGATTTGTGCGGGACTTGTATGCGATTTACATCGCCCCAAAGATTCGCAATGCTAATAAATTCGTACACCTTATGGCGGGTGCTGGGGTGATGTTGATTCCAATTGCTTTTCCAGAGGTCTTGTCATGAAAGTTGAAAGGTTGAGCCCCGTAAAGCATCAGCAACGGTATACTTTCACCTGACAGTTTGAAATTGGGAAAGGTCTAAAACAATCATAGGAATCCATGCATATCATACGTTTGTAAATATGTATGGCTATATGCATGGACATCGCTCTCCCACCAACAGTTAAGCGAGCAATTAGAAAGAGAGCATGCGATGAGAGAGCCACTAAACCACCTACGCATGTGGTTACATGTGTGCGCCTACGCCGAAACCTCTCCCACTCCCCTCTCAATCAATCTCCCAATAACAGCAGCAAATAAGAGAGTTAATCGAATAAGCATCTCTTTCACACGTTCACCTAGAAGTTGCCATTTGCCTTGTGTTTGGGAGAGGGAAACGAAGACGAGCAGATACAAACGTTATTTTCCAATAAGAAAATTTGCGGAGGAGCAATTAGGAAACGAAACAGAATGAGAGCACGGGAAGCACTGGAATCGGAACGCACAAAGTCACGTACGCATCTATCACTTTCTCTCATTGCTTCCGTTTTTCACTGTTATTTTAGCTTCCATCTTCCTTTGTCTCCAAAAAGCATTGAATAAAAGCCCCCAAAAGCGAGACCCAACAAACTGCGAAAACTTCCACTTGATGGGATGCCTTTATGTGGCAGCCAATTGGTGGCAAGAGTGCAGCAGTGGGCACAAAACTTTTTGGCTTTTGTGGTTCCCAGGCGACTTGGAGCGAAACATGCGAGTTGCGGCTTTAATTGTTGCCACTGCCGCGGCCGCGACTGTGGCTCTGGCTGCAGCCAAGTGGAGTTTCTAATGCAATTTTCCAAAAGAGCCTTACGCAATGCACCGCCACACCAACAGCGCGGCAGCAGTGCACCAGAGCAGCAACAACAATGGCAACATTTTGCAACCTACCTACCGCTGCTGTTGCTGCTGTTGTTTTTGTTGTTGCTGTTGTTGCTGTCGCTGCCTTGAACGTGTTGCGCGCATAATTACCAAACGCAGTCATTCAGCGAGCAGCCCACAG